CCCTCCAACCTGCCCTGGGTGCTGCATCATGGGAATCCTGCCCTCGCTCCAAAAGTGGGTGTCTGTAGTCGTCAGGCGGTTCTATGTAAACGTTTTCCTAGTGCCAAGGAGTCTGGTGGTGTCATCTTTCAAGAGTGGAGGGGAGGGTGAACATGTCCACGGGCCCCCGCCAGGCCTCACTCAGAACTGAACTCAGCACTGGTGCTGGGCAGGGGCTGAGGGGGCACATGGTACCTGGAAGGGTGGGCTGTGAACTGAGGTGTGCAGAGGGCAGAGCAGGTGGGGAAGCAGCAGCCTGGAGAGGGTGGGGAGTGGGAGGTCAGAATCAGGTGAGACAAAGGAGCTGCTCCATCCCTCTGCAGGTTGCTGGCGTCACCATTGCAGCCTCGGCAGGCAGGCATCTTCCTCATGGGAGGGCCCAGCTGCAGCACCCCGTGCCCGGCTCCTGCGCTGAGCTGGCCCGGGTACGGCAGCAGCTCCCACTAGGACTCTCGGCATGCCTCAGGGAGGGCGTGCGCACAGGGCTGTGGGTGTAGCCTCAGAGGCTTGCCCCATGCCTGCCTTCTCCCAGCCAAGGAATGAGGCCTGTGGGCCAGGTTCAGTGAGCGTATCCTGGGCCAGGCCCTGTCGAGTGGGAGCCACAGACCTGGAAGCTGCCATGGCACTGCCAGGGAGGTTGTACAGGCTCGTCCATGTACAGATGAGGGCAGGTGGGACCTGCTTGGGGCATGGGGAAATGGACTCTGGGGAAGCTAGACCAGAGCATGAATCCCACACAGTCCAGGTGGCCTGTGCTCAGTGCCCGACCCTGGGGACTCCATGGCGAGCTCCGCCTGTGAGTGTGTTAATGGCACCTACCTTGTATGCCCACCCCAGTCCTCCTGACTCCCATTTGCTCCAGGGAAATGGTGGTGATGAGTTCCTTCCAAGTTATGTGTGCAGGTGTGCACGTGTGTGTGTGAATGCGCATGTGAACTTATGTGTGTGTGTGTGTGTGCATGTGCGTGTGGGTTCACCTTTCTGGCAGAGGACCTGACGTTGGAACTGATTCTGATGGAAACAAGAGACTGAGGGATTGTCTTTTGCTAATGGCTCTTTGAAATCCCGGATAATATACTAACTGAGTTGGAACCACATTAAACAGTGCAGCTTAAGGGCAGAGCAGACTCGGGGATTCTCACGGGTTTCTCCGTCTTGGACTGGTTCCCGCCTGATGGGGCAGCTAAGGGGTGGAAGGTAGCGTTGGCAGCACGGTCCAACCCACCAGACCTCTAGGCACCAGCACCGAGCATGTCCCCCACCTTTGTCAAGACCTGTGCACTCATGCACACGTGTGCACTTGCTCTCACATGTGCACAACACAATGCTTGTGTGCACACATACTTGTATTAGTCACACACGTGTGTATGCACTCACATATGTGTGCACAGTACTCATACATCCACACCCACACGTTTGCACTCACACCGTTCCTCCAGGGCAAGAAGCCTCTGTGGCTTTGGGGGCTGGTTGAGTGATGGGCAGCTGATCCCCACGCCCCCTCTATTTCCTGGCAAGTGCAGTCTCATGCTAAGAGCATCTGAGGTCTGACCATGCAGTGGGGGATGGAAGTTGGCCTTCACTTCCCACTGCTGCAGACCCCTGGGCACTGCCCAGAGCCCAGTGGGTGGGTCCTGGCAGGGGCAGATGGACGCTTGATGGCTTGTGGGCATACAGATGGCTTGTGGGCACAGGTGTGGGCAGGCTAACGGGGACCAGCCAGGGGGTGGGCCTGGGCTGCAGGGAAGAGGGAGGGAGTGTGTCTCAGATCTGCTGAACTCGAGCTGAGGGAGAGGGGCTGCAGGGGAGGGACCAGCCCCAGCCAACCGGAACCCAGTGATTGGGGAGGCTGGGGGTGAGTTCCTTGTCCACTCTCCTCCTGCCCATAGGGACACACTGGGCCTTGTGTTGGCCAAACTTGGCCCAAGGCCGGAGGGCAAGGGCACCCTGGGAATGCAGGGCCTGAAGTAGGGTGGCAGAGGGAGGAGGGGTGGGCTGGGCACTCGGGCTCAGAGGACCCAGCATGTTGGGCCTGCAGCAAGGCGTCAGGGCAGTCTTCTCCAGGGCTGGGTCCTGCGGGCGGTCGCAGGAGTGGACATGTGCGCTTACTTGACCCAAGGTTCCATTGGGGGTTTTAGAAACAAACTCAAAGTATGGAGCCTGTCCTTTTGTGCAGATCTTCCTGCCTCTCTGCCTGTCTTTCTGTCTGTCTCTGTCTCTGTCTCTCTGTGGAGGTAGAGTCAGGTGAACCAGCCCAGTGGCTCCCAGGTGTGGTTCACGTGAGCACCCCAGTTCTGGAGCTGGGTATGGATGGTAGAGGCTGCGCCAGAGCAGGGCTGGAGCAGGTGCCGTGCCAGATGCCTACTCATCCGGGACCTCAGAGCAGCACAGCCTGGCGGCCTGCTGTTGGACCATGTTCCTCTCTCCTCCCACAGTGGCTGCCAGGATGCGAGTGTGGCAAGAAGGCAGCCCCTGAAATCATTGGGGAGTGGGTCATGATACACACATGCCCTCAGCAAGTCTCTTGTGGGCCTGTCTGCAAAGACTGCAGGGCTCGCTGGAGATGCCGTGTCCCATGTGGGCCTGCAGAGCTGTGTTCCTGGACTGCGCAATGGGGGCGCGGGAGGGGTTAGAGACTTTGCCTCTGCTGCCCCGCCATGCCCTCCCGAGAGCCGCTGAGGACCTCAGGCCTCCCCATGCACCGCCAAAGAGTGTCTTTCCTACCCAAACGCTGTTCCCCTTCTCCTGGGCATTTTCAGGGCCCTGCTGAGACATCACTCCCTCCGAGATGCCCGCCCTGCCTGCCCCACTCACCTGCATCCATGGGCATTCTTTTCCCTCTGTTAATCTATTAAAGTGAGTTACATTTCTAGATTGTCTGTATTTAAGGCATTCTTGTATTTCTGGAGTAATCCAGTTTGTGGTATATTCTTCCTGAAATCTCTCTGTTCAATTTGATTGGCTAGTGTTTGTTGAGTGGCTTTCTATCCACGTTTCTGAGTGAGCGAGGACTTGACTTTCCCTGTCTTGTGATTTCTTTGTTTGATTTGGCATTAGAGTTATACGGGCCTCAAGGAGTGATCTGGAGATTCTTCATTCTTTTTTGTTATAGGATAACCTGTTCCTTGAAAGTGTAGTAGAACGCACCTGTTAAACCGCTTGGGCCTGCTGCTCTCTTTGGGGAAAAACTTTTTTTTTTTAACATTTAAACCATCTATAGTATTATATTTAAAGTGGGTTTCTTATACATAGCATATATTTGGGTCTTGTTTTTATTAGTTTTGATCCAATCTGACAATCTCTCTTTCAATTACTGTCACGCATCGTTTAGTGACGGGGACACATTCTGAGAAATGCATCCTTAGGCAGTTTCATTATTGTGGAAACCTCATAGAGTGACTTACACGAACCATATGGCACAGCCCGCTACACACCTAGGCTCCATGATACTAACCGCATGGGACCACCGTTGTCCATGTGGCCCGTCATTGACTATAGTGTAGTTGTGTTTAAGATGATGTTAAGGTGTTTGGGCTTTGGTTGACTGTCCCATTATTTACTGTCTGTTTGTCCCTCTGGTTTCTGTGACTTTGTTCCCACTTTCCTGCCTCCTTTTGTATTATTTGAATATTTTTTAGTATTTCACTTAGTTTATTAGCTTTTCAAACATATTTCTGTGTCTCAATTTCTCAATGATTGCTCTAGGGATTGTAATATACATAGCTCACTTTCCACGGTCTACTTTGAGTTAGTACATTTTACCACTTTAAGTGGGACCTAGAGCCCCTGCCACCACACCAGCCCCTCCTCTACGTGTCATCTGTGTCATGTCTGTGCACCCTGGACCACCCCAGACCACGTTCTAGTGTTTGCTTTCAGTATGTAGTTAATTTAAAGAATTTGAAGGAGAAAAGGAGCATATTGCACTTACTCAGTTATGTATTCCTTCTGTTTCCATCCACGTCTGAAAGCCACTGTCCCCTCTGGTGCTATTCTCCTTAGCCTGAAGGACTTCCTCTGTTTCTTTGAGAGCAAGCCTGTCGGCACCAAATTCTCTGTTATTTCATCTGAGATTGTCTTTATTTTACCTGTACTCCTGAAGAACTTTTCACTGTGTGTAGAATTCTGGTTAACATCTTTTTTCAGATGTTAGAGCTGTTGCTCCTCTGCCTGTCGGCCTCCCTGGTTCTGAGGAGAATCCATCCCAGCCCCCCACCATCCTCGTCCCCCAGCTGCTGTCAGGTTGTCGTCTCCGTCTTGGGGTTTTAGGGGTTTGATGACGATGTTTCTGCCCATGGCTTCCTTTGAGTTTATCCTATTTAGGTTGCACTAGTTTGTGAGTGTATAAATTTATGTCTGCCAAATTTGCGAAGTTTTCAGTCATCATTTCTTGAAATCGTTTTTCTGCACCAATCATTTCCTGTCCTCTGGGACCCCATGACAATAATGTCAGGCCTGTTGATGTTGTCCCCTAGGTCTCATTTTGAAACCTTTGTTTCTTCAGAATGGATGGTTTCCATCAATCCATCTTCAAGTTCACTGACGTCTCCATTCAGCTACTAAGCCCTTAGAATAAAATTTTTATTTTATCTGTTGTATTTTTTCAGTTCTAAAATTAGGTCTTTTTAATGCTTTCTATTTTTCCGCTGAGAACTTCTGTCTTTTCACTCAGCTTACTTGTGTTCACCTGGACCTCGTGGAGGGGGTTGTAATAAACATGTACAAGTTTTTGATAATTCCAGCATTGCCCTCATCCTGGGGTTAACATCTGTGGATTATCTTTTCCCTTGGGAATTGTAGATTTTTTTTTTCCTTCTTCTCGCCAAAGCCCCCGGTACATAGTTGTATAGTCTTAGTTGTGGGTCCTTTTAGTTGTGGCATGTGGGACGCCGCCTCAGCATGGCTCAACGAGCGGTGCCATGTCCGCGCCCAGGATCCGCACTGGTGAAACCCTGGGCTGCCGAAGCGGAGCGCGAGAACTTAACCACTTGGCCACAGGACTGGCCCCGGGAATTGTAGATTTTTAAATGTATGTTGAGTAACTTTTTGTTTTGTGTGGATATTTTGAATAGTATGTTTTCAGAGTCTGGTTCTGCTAAATTTCTCTGTAAATTTCTGTTTCAAAACAGGGCCGTGATGTTGTCAGTTCAGACTGAAGTTCTGTCTTGCTCTCTGTGGGTGGTGGTTCCAGGCCAGCTCGGCATTCAGAGCCTTTGCAGGATAGTCTGGATTTGCATGGAGCACACACCTTCAGGGTCAGGACAGGGCTGGAGGCCTGGGTCACAGTTTAGTTCTCAGTGTTCTGTGCTTCTTTGGGTCCATTCTGTGTGTGCGGCTTGGGGGAGCCCAGGACTTGTGTTGGCTGTACACGGGGTTAGGGGAATTCCCCTTCTCCGGCACTCCTCTTTGCGGTTTCCCCCACCCACTCCAGCCCCAGGGGCCCCCATGTCCCTGGGCCAGAGCCTGGAGTCCTTTCAGCACCAGCCCCCCTGTGCTGTGCAGCTCATCACAGCTGGGCGCCCTGGGAGCGGAGCCAGGCACAGGAAGAGGACAGACAGCAGGCTTCCCCTGCCAGCTTTGGGCAGCAGCGGCCTTTCCTACCCGTTCCTTTGGCCAGAGGTAGGCTCCTCTCTTGGGGTTCGGGCGCCTGCCCTGCTGTGGCTGCAGAGGGGCAGCCAGTGACAGGTGGGGATGCCCGCATTCCTTGGCACCAGCCTCGCCTCTGCCGGCCTCAGCTTGGCCCCGGGGCTTTCTCCGGGGATTTTGCCCTCCACTCTCACTGCAGCGTCCCAGGTCAGCTAACCTCCGGTCCCAGCTGGGGACAAAGGCGGGTCTTGGCCCAGGCCTGGCTCCACCCTCTGTCCCCCACGCTTCATTTCCTAGCACTGCGCTGCTCCCGTGGTTGGGTGTGGGGTTTGGGCCGTGAGCCCTGGGAGAGGCCAGCACCATGGCCCGCGACATGTCCAGGGCCTCGTCGTCTCCTCCCCCGGCTTCTCAGCTGGGCCCCTCGGTCTCCTGTCTCAGTGACAGCTGCCCCGCTCACAGTTCGAGTCCTCGGGTCACTAAAGTCTCAGGAGTCCTTAGGGCCCCGCCCCACTGCCACCTCCTGGCCATGGCTCCCACGGCTCCGTCCCACCACTGTGCATTTTGCATCAATGTGCGGTACAAACCCCCGACTGCGGGGTCGTTCAGGCTGTAAGCAGACAGTTGTCTTTGAAGGAAATTATGAGAAGAGGACACCGCAGTGCCTCTGCATCCACTTTGCCATTTACTCCCTATTTTTGAGTCTTCTTTCCTTAGTGGTCTGCGTTCTGTCTCGTCTCCATGTCAGCATTTCTCAGGGGGCAGGTCCGCGCTCAGCACTGTTTATCTGACTTTATTTCCTCTTCCACCTGGACCATATCTTTTCTGGGCAGAGGATTCTGAGTGGACTGCTTTTTCCTTTTGCTCTTTAAAGATGTCCAGCATTTTCTTCTTGCCTCCATCGCTTCTGAGGCAAAGGCAGTGGTCACGTGTGTCAGTGGTCACGTGTGTCGGTGGTCCCTGTGTGTCAGGTGCTGTTTTCCTCTGTCTCCTTTTGAGATTCTCTTTTTGTTTGGTTTTCAGCAGTTTGACAGGTGTGTGCCTCTGTGGTTTTCTTTGTACTTATCCTGCTTGGGTTTGCCGAGCTTTTTAGATATGAGATCTTTAAGTTTTCTGTCAAATTTGGGAAATTTTATTCATTAGCTCTTCAATATTTTTCTGTTCTGTTCTCATTCTTTTCTCTTTCCAGGACATAATTACATGTGGGTTAGAACCTTCAAGATTGTCCTACATGTCCCTAAGTTTCTATTTCTCTTCAGTCTTTTTTTTTCTCTTTTCCTCAGATTGATTCCTTTCTATTAATCTGTTTTCTGGTTAAATCCATCCAGTGAATTATTCATTCTGGATATTCCGGAACTGAGAAGTCTAATTTACATTTTTTTTATTTTTTTCCTTTTTCTCCCCAAAGCCCTGGGGTACATAGTTGTATATTCTTTGTTGTGAGTCCTTCTAGTTGTGGCATGTGGGATGCTGCCTCAGCGTGGTCTGATGAGCAGTGCCATGTCCGCACCCAGGATTCGAACCAACGAAACACTGGGCCGCCTGCAGCAGAGTGCATGAACTTAACCACTCGGCCACAGGGCCAGCCCCGTAATTTACATTTTTATAGTTTCTATTTATCTGCTGAGATTCCTTATCTTTATCCTTCTATTTTCCTGTAACTCTTTGAGCCTGTTTATACCATCTGCTTTATGGTCTTCGCTAAATCCAGCGTCTGTACCATGTCAGGGTTGTTCCTGTCGGCTTCTTTATTCCCATGGGTCATATTTTCCTCTTTCTTCTCAGGTCTGGTACTTTTTATTGTCTCCTAAACTTTGCTGCTGAGATGCTGGAGACCCTGGGCTCTTGCCCTCCTCTGAGGAGTGCTGAGTTTCGATCCACTTGGCCCATGGGTTTGTGTGAGTTTGGTTTCATGCTTTGTTAGATTGGATCTAGGGGTGTCCTGGGTGTTTCCCCAGCTCCTATAACTTGGCAGACTCAGCATCCAAACTGCCCCCAGCGGGGGCTCCTGTCAGGGTTTTACTTTGGGCTCTGCTGGCTGAGGGGTGAGGGGTGTCCTCTAATGTGGACCTTACTGAATGATCTCACCCTCACTACAGGGCATGGCCTTTCTGGTCTCAGCCTGCCCGGGGGATAAGCGAGGGGCTGAGGAGGTCTCCCCATGCTGCTGGGCCAGCAGCACTTGATGCCTCAGTCTCTTCCCATCCACCCCGGAGCTGTTTCTCCTTGGGAGTTCCCGTGTGTTCATACTGGCAGGTGCAGACAGCCCCCAGCCAAGGATTCGGGGGCCGTGGGTTCTGGGCCCCATCTCTGTGCAGCTGCCTCCCTGGTGCCCTCCCTGCACATTCGACTCTGATCTCTACCTGTCACGCTCTGCCTGGGGTCCAGCTCTGTGCCGCCATGGGAGATGGTCCCCAGGAAGGGATCCATGGCACCCTCTGCTGGGGGTCACAGTCCTGTGCCAGTCCTCATCCACCACCCAGAGGCAGGTGCCTGTTAGCTTGTGCTCTGTGATAGCAGTGTAGGGTACAAGTGCTGGCCCAGGCCGAGTTGCCATCACAGCCATGGTGGGACCCAGGCGATGGCCATCTTTGCTTTGTATCCATCCCCTTGCTACAGCCAACATGTGTTACTTTTTAAAACAAAGATTAAAACATTGGTAAAGCTGTTACCACCCTCATCCGCACCCCATGCAGGCGCATCTGTAACTGTGTCTCAGGCTGTTGAGCTGACTCGCTCACATGTCCTCTAGGGGAGGGGATGAGGGCATTCCGTCATTCCTCTAGTCCGCCGTAGGGATGAATCGTGTCTAGGGAGGGGATGCGGAAATAAGCACGGTTTTATTTGATGCCAGTTCTTCACGCTTATAGAGATAACTGTTAAAGTGTAGTCTCCGTTACTTTTTGGTTTTAGACCATCCTCTGTTTGAACACACACTCTGACACCTTGGTGTCAGGCCTGTCCAAAGCAGCAAGAAAAGCCAGAACCCTGACCCGGCAAGGCCACCATGCCAGTGTGCCTGGCCCACCGGGCAACGGGGGCTATGGTCAGTGACTCTGTGCTAGGAGGGCGTCCACCATCTGTGGGGCAAGCCCACCCAGGAGGTGCGGTCCCTGGGGAGCAGGGCAGGGTCTCCGGCCACACTGCTGGCATGGTATGCACGGGGGAGAATGGAGTTTACAGGGGCAGCCACAGGGCAGCAGGGGCCCACTCGGCTTCGGGAGCATTCTGAGTTGATGCATGGGGAGAGCATGGAGGAAGTGCAGCATAGCCAGCGCTCTCTGACTGTGGCTTTGCTGTGTGCCACTTAGAGCTCTCCTGCAATAGGAAGGGACCTCACTTCCGTGGTCAGCTGGGGAGCCAGGCAGTTCCATCAACCACTGTGAGCCAGAGTGATGGCTGAGCCAATGGGTGGCCCAGAGCGGGGCTCCAGCCAGGGCGGGGATCAGGGAAGGCTGAGGTCTCAGCAGAGGGAGCCAGGAGAGGGTGCTGGGATGGGGCAGAGGGTGCAACAGTGTGTTCTAGAATGAGGGCAGGGCTCAGGGAAAGGCAGAGGGTTTGAGCCCTACCTGGTGGAGCTGGGGGCTTGGGGTTGGGAGACTGTGCTAACAGCACAGTGCAGGTGGGCCCTGCATCCCAGGATTTCCAGATTGACCTTCTGGAAAGGTCAGGTGTAGTGCTGAGTAGAAAGGGTGGGCAGAATGAGGAGCCCGGGAGGAACTGTGTTGGGATCCCAGGCACATGTGAGAAGGGGCCTCCAGGTCTCAACGTCCAGGCTTATCAGGCTTATCAGGTGAGGGGCCACAAAGACACTCGGCCCCGGAGGTGAAGGGGCCGCAGGGCTGGGTGAGCAGACAGGCACCCTGTGAACACACGCGTATCCAAGAGGAAATCCCACGCCTGGGCCACTGGCCTGCAGGCTGGATCAATGGCACGTGAGGCTCCCTCCAGCTGGCCATCCTAGTTCCCTCACGGAGCAGGGCAGAGGCCCGGGCCTGCCCCACCTCCCCCTGCACCCGCCGCACTGCGCCCGTGCTGGCATCTGGTCCATCAGATAGCGCCCGCTTACCTGGCAGCGCTCCCGTTTGTGGACTGGCTTCAAGTATTTTCATGTACCCTCGAGAGAATGATTAAAAAGTAATTAACCTAAATTTAGCCTGATTGTCATAAATAAATTAGCCACATGAATCATCTGTGATTTGCCGGCCTGCACATGCTTGGCTTCCAGGTGCACATCCCCTCAGGGAGACAGCTGCCCCCCGCGGGGGGAGAGGCCCTGCAGCCTCATCAGGGGGACACAGACCTCTTCCCACACCGGCTGCCGTCTTGTCAAACTGCAGGTGGCAGAGGAGGTCACCAGGTGTGTCGTCACACCCCAGGCTGCCTCGGTGGCTGAGACCATGGCTCCTGCCCGGCTCCTGCCCGGCTCCTGCATGCTGGCACAGAGCGGAGCCCGGTGGGTTGGCCTTGGGCACTGGCCAGTCCCTCTGCCCAGCTGACGGCTGAAAGGAGCCAGTGCTCCAGGAAGGGGCATCCTCTGTGTGGGACCCTGCGGGGTCTCAGGATCTGGCCTTGACAGCGGCTCATGCTGCTGTCAGACATCTCTGACTTGCACGTGGCTCTGTGGGAACCCACAATGGGACATGCTTCACTTAGCCAGCATGGGCCTGGCTTACGACGCAGACACCCCAAACCTCAGGTCTCGGGGAGGCCTGCCGCTCACTCTTCCCACCAGGCCAGGTGGTCTGCGGGGGGCTGTGCTGCACAGAGCTGGGAGCCCCCACCCCCGCCACAGGCCCTTCGGGAAGAGAGCAGAGGGCTCAGAGCAAGAGAGATGGCAAAACCCAAGCTGAGAAACTGGGAAATGAAACAGGTTCTGTCCCCCATCTTGACAAAAGATGTATAAAGCTGTGATGTTTCTATGACTGACTGCAAAATATCAAAACACATTGTGTTTAATTGTTAGTGCACAGAGCTGGGCGTTCTCTTCATGGGCTGGTAATGTTGGACATGTAATAAAATATAGATATACATTACTCACACAGTTATATATTTATCCCATAAAATTTATATTCCTTATCCTCATTTCCACAAAATCACTAATTATGTTATTCAAGATTTTTATTAAATTAGTATCTGTTAACAGTGTTGGTCTGAAATATTTTTAAAACCTGCAATTGTATTCAAAGTGTACAAAGTTTGAATGTATTTCCATGAACTATGTAAATTAAATATAAAAATAAAAAAATATTTTTCAGTGTTTTCAAAAAGTTATTTTTTTCTGAGGTATTCAAAGGTATAAAAATTAAAAATGCAAATTATAATTGATTTGCAAAATACAAATTATCATTAATGGATATAAAATGTGAATCAAAATTATTAAGCTTAAGCTTTTGAAAATTTCATTCTTTTGACAATGCAATGAAATCTTATTGCATATGCTTTAAAGGAGTGATTCGTGACGTGGACGTTCAGTGTGAAGATGTCCCGGTGTCGGCATGCCAGTCTAGACCTGCGCCATGGGATGTTTCATAATGTGAGAGGTTCTCAGACGACAGGAGCCACTGCTTCAAATCCCGCCCTCACGCCAAGGACCTAACACCATGGTGAGAACTCGAAAGCAGGACGTAGTTGGCCCTGCACCGCCTTGTCACCAGGAGTTGACAAGTGAATTCCCTTGTGTCTTCTCTTGCCCAGCACTTCCTCCTGTCCAGTCAGGGTCCGTGTCCAGCTCTGCAGCCGCACAAGCCCCAGGCCTGAGGCCCTGGCGCCTGGACCGTGTTGGAGCCGAGAGCAGGTGTTCAGGACAGCTGGGTGGGGGCTGGGAGCAGATCCCAGCGATGGACTGCCTTCCCCATTCTTCAGTAAGGGCGTTGTGTTGTCTGTGACTGCAGGTGTCTGAAAAGTGGGCCCAGGGTGTGCATGGAGTTCTCTCCTGCTCTTCCGGGAAGCGGGTCACCTCCTTCACAGCCCACTGGTCAGAAGTGGTCACACACAGGCCCCAGACGAGGAAGGGTGGCTTCCCAGGCCTGGAATGATTGGGAAATGGTGGTGTCAGATCGGGGTTCGCCTCTGAAACCCTCCCTCGCTGGTGCATCCCCCTGCTCTTGAGAACCGCGGGCTCACCTGAGAACAGTGGTGTCTTCTGGACAGGAACATACCAGGATTTTGCTCAGCTGTATTTAATTTTTTATCTTCATTATTTCCTTTTAGATTTTGCCAGTGCACATAATCAGTATGACTGTTCAGACCCCCTCTGTGTCCTCTTCCCCTGCCAGGAGGTTGGGTGTGTGTCGGGTGGGCTGGCCCCTCGAAGGGCATCTCTGCTCCAGCAGGGTGGAGGGGCGGGGGCCCCTGTGACTGGGACCAGAGCATCCTGCTTCCCCAGTGCCCTCCCTGGGAGCAGGGCGGGACCTGGCTGTGCTCGAGGGGTCCTGCTGGCACCTCTGGAGCAGGCTCCTTCTGAGTCTGGGGGCTGTCAGGAAATAAAAAATGACTTCCTCCCCTGTTTTCAAACACAGCAGGCACGGTTGTTCACAGAATGTCTGGCAATTCCCGCGTCTCGGTCTGCTGGGCTGCCTCTGCTCTGTTGTTGCTGTGGCTCCTGTTTGCGGGGCTGCCCCCTGTGCTCGCCTCTGGAGGAGCTTCCCTTCGGGGGGGCCTCTGCCTGTGCTTCTGCCAGGGAAGGGACTCCACCATCACAGTCCTCTGCAGACTGCCTGCACTGCCCAAGTTTTGGGTTGGTTTGGGCTGGTTTGGCTCTGATCACCCAGATGGCGGCATGATGCTGCTCACCTGCTGTGCTCCCTGCTCCCCCAGGATCGGTCCCCAGCCCTGCTCAGGGCGGGGACTCCCAGACTCCCCGTGGTCCGGGACTGTGGACCACTGGCTGTGGACACCCAGAGGGTGAGCCCTTTGGAGGTCCCAGCTTCAGGGGGGTAAGAGCTATGAGACACCCCATCTTGGGAGCCCTGGGACCTGCCTTCTGTCCCGTGAGCTCGGCCAGGCAGGGAGAACTGGAGCCCAAGTTCACACGTCCTGGTTCAGACATCCTTGGGAGCAGGCAGGGTTTTGCCTGTCTGGGTCCTCGCATCCCCGTCCGTCAGGCCTGTGGGCTCCCACTACTGTCGGCCTTGGCTGTGTTGAGGAAGGTGCTTTTCCCATTTCGCCCAAGACTGTCCTCATTTCAGTGTGCAGGGAGTTCAGGCTCTGTCCCAGTTCCCAGGCAGCCTGGATCCTGGTCCCCCAAGGTCTCCCGCTGACACTGCAGTCTGCCTGGTGGCAGCGCCGCCTCTAGCTGCCTCTCGCCGCGGGCTTCACTGCGGATCTGCCATGGGCCCTCTTGCACTCAGCCTTGCCCCCAGTCTTCTGGTGGGTTTCTCGTGAACATCTCTGCACACGCTCTCCCGCCCCACACCTGAGCAGCAGAGCAAATGCCCCGACCCTGTGGCTGAATCTCTAGCTGCCTCACGTGGTCAGCAGCCCCAGCAGCCCCGCCAGAGCCCGGGATCCGAGTCTTCTCCGTCAGGCCCCTCCCGGACGTGGCCCTGGGACGCTCTGAGCACCCACTCACGCCCTCATTTGCTCTCTTGTCTGTCACCTGGACCATGGCCGTGGCCTCTGATTAAAAAAAAAAAAAAAATCGAAAAAAGCTTTTTAATTCTTAATGCAAAATCAATTTGTGATCATTTTGGAAAATCTATTTGAAAAATTAGGAAGGTAAAGATTAGCAGAAAGCAGGAGCTGAAATATATGCACAGGCCTGGATCTGCACTAATGACAGGTACGTCCTGGCCTTTCCCCCAGTCTGTGCGCATGCCTGTTCTGTTTCGATAAATGGCACAACCCTCCCTCAGGACTCCCCTCATGGGAGCCCCTCCGAATCAAGTGGGGGCCTTTTCCTACTGTGCGGGCTGCCTGCTGGGGCCCCGATGCTGAGGTGGGGGTCTTGATGGAGCACGTTCCTGACGGCAGAGGGTGCCTCGCTCTGAGAGTCACCAGTGCACTTAGGGCCCCGTAGCAGTGCATTTCCCCAGAGCCTAGACTGAGGGCATTTCACAGCATCTGTGCACCTCCCCTCCAGCTGCCTTCAGGTATCTGGGTGGCCTCCTACCACAAACCCACCACCATCTGCTCTGTCAGCCCTCCATGTGGAATTCAGTCTTTGCTACCACAAAACCCATGGCAAGTGATATCTCTGTGCATATTCTTGATGGTTTCCTGAAGACGACGGGACAGCTGTGGGAGGGACGCAGGGAGGCCCAGGAGCATCACAGGCCAAGTCTAGGCAGATCTCCTGGGAAACGTTTGTCTGCAGAGTTTGTGCTTGGGTCTCGTGGCCCTGCAAGGGCAGATCACGGGTCCTTGGCCTTGCCTGTCATCTGAGACCTCCCTGTACCTCCAGGGTGCTTTGGTGCACTAGCCATTGGTCTTCCAGAACCTTCCCACATTCCTGAACTTCAGTAGGAATGCCCTCCCTCTTCTCCATCTCCCATCCTGCCCATTCTGAAATAAATTTTAAAAATTAAAAAAGGAATTTGAATTTTGATTGGGGAATCTCAAGGAAATTACAAAGAAGGTCAAGATGATATTTTTAAATCCTTGCAAAATACTGAGAAAGATCCTCCCCACGTTCCTTAACACCCTCCTCAGGAGCCAGCCTATTCTTCCAGACCCACCACACCCAGGGCCTTTGCACTGGCTGTTCTCTCTGCTTAGCCTGTTCCTCTTTGCCTATCTAGTGGGTCATTACCTCGCTTCCTTCAGGCCTTTCCTCAAATGTCCCCAACCACACTCCTGGCTCAGACCCTCCCCTGGCACCCCCACACCCATTTGTCTTGTTTGCCGTCTGTCTCTGTCTACTGCACGAAGAGAGGGCGTCTGTCTTAGTTGGCTCAGGCTGCCTTACAGAATACCGCAGACAGGGGCGCTTAAACGACAGACACTTATTTCTCGCAGTTCTGGAGGCTCTGAGTCTGAGATCAGCGTGCCCACACGCTGGGGTTTCCTCGCCCCCGAAAGGCCGGCAGGACTGGGTCCTCTGGAGGCTCCTGGGGGGAATCTGCTTCCTGCCTTTTCTAGCTTCTGGGGGCACCTGCATTCCTTGGTTCATGGTCCTGCATCTCTCTGACCTCTGCTCCCTTGTCACGTCTCCTTCTCCGACTCTGACCCTCCTCCCTCTTTCCCTGGTAAGGGCCTGGTGATGACTCTGGACCCACCTGCGTGACCCAGGACCGTCTGCCCAGCTCACGGTCCTTAACTGGATCACATCTGTGAAGTGTGAGGCAGTGTATTGTGAGTTTGGGGGTTAGGATGTGGGCATCGTCAGGGGGTCTTTATGCTGCCTAACTTAGTAGCCAAAATTAAGGACTTCATGTAGGTCATTACGTTTGTAAGCAAATTTAAATCACAGCTGAAAACAGAATTAGTAAAATAGAAAATAGATCAGAACAAAATGTATATCCAGAAAGATGCAAAGGAAGATAAAAGGATGGAAAATAGGGAGGACTGGGTGTGAGACACAGGGCACCGTGAGACCCAGGTTGGACGTCAGACCTCCGGAACTGTGACAGCATCAACCGTGTTGTTTTAAGCTTGTGGCAATTTGTTGATGCTGCCACAGGAAACTGATAGAGCTACTGTGTTTTTTGTGACGCTTTTTTTGTTGAGGAAGATTGTCCCTGAAGATCTGTGCCAGTCTACCTCTATTTTGTATATGAGACGCTGCCACAGCACTTTGGCTTGATTATCAATGTGTAGGTCCGCACCGGGAATCTGAACCTGTGAACCCCGGGCCGCTGAAGTGGAGCATCCGAACTTAACCACTACGCCGCTACTGTATGTTTTATTGTATAATTTCTATGTGGGGTTTCAAACCTGAAAATTTCATTTTTCATCGTTTCCAGTTTCCTGCTAAAATTTTCAAGCTTGTCCACATTTTTCCATCTATATCTGACTATTCCAGTGTTAGGAGTCTTTATGGGTCTGCTTTGCTTTCCATTGTCTTGTTCAGTTTCTGCTCACGTGGCTCTGTGTCCTTGCACGCCTGTTATCTTTGTATGCTGGGCATTGTTTGAAAATTTATTTGTAAACATAATTTGAGGCCCAGGATGATGGTATCTTCTTCTAGACACGACTATAAATCATACTTACTAGGCTCCTGCAGGCAGTAGAATTTGGGGATCGTAATTTCTGGCCTGTGGTGTCCTGGGCCGAGGGAAGACTGGAAGGCTACCTTGCTCTTGAGTCGACCCTTCTGGGTCTGGGGCACTTTCCAGGGTGCCCCCCCTTGTAGGATAGACCCTGCCTCCTGTCCTCCCAGCCTTGGGGGACTCCCAGCTCCCTCCCCCAGGCCGGCAGATGCCCCCAGAGCAGAGTGGCTCTCGGGGCTTTCCGTCCTCTCTTGGGTCTCGGCCTTGTCATGCCCTCTGGCTTGTTACCTCTTTGGGGACATTCCTGACTTTTTCTTCCTAGCTCTGTGAGTGGTCCTCAGCATGAAGAGGGCTCAGACAGCCTGGCCTGCACAGCACAGAGGCAGAGGCAGAGGCAGAGGCGCAGCTCTTTCATTCCATCTGCCCCGCAGGGCTCCACGCCAGAGTGAGCTGCTTCCGGTCAGAGCCTGTGGCTGCTTACCTCCTGCGTCCAGGTCCCCCAGAAGCCGCCCTGCTGGCTGTGAGCTGACTTCTCGGAGAAGCTGCAACCACAAAAATAAAGTGTCGATGGAACCTGACCCTCAGCTGACTCTGGCGTCCCCATCCAGGGCCTCGCAGGGCGGCCTGGGGGCTGGTTAGGAACTTGGCTTGGGAACCAGACCGCCCTGGGGTTGGTCCTGGATCTGCCTTGCAGGAGCTGGGCCTGGCTCTAGTGGGCATTTGATAAACTGAACCCATGATTATTATTGTTGTTGTTGTTATTGTTACCATCCCCGCCCCCTGTGGCTCCCGGAGCAGGGCCTCCCCCAGGAGCCCTCGAGGGTCTGGTGCTCTGACAATAAAAGGCAACTTCTACTAAGGTGCCTTCCAGGCGCCGTCCTCCCCTCGATGACCGCATGGCACAGACCGGCCTGATGAGACGCTGCAACAGGGACCGGGGCCGTGAGTGCCGGTGACAGTGCAGGGTGCGAGTCCCACAGGGAGCTCTTTTTCCATCTCTTATGAGCACAGACACGTGTCGGGACGGGTCGTGAGCCGCCTCATTAGCAACGGCACATGGCGATGTCGCTCCCGGTGCTTTCCTTCCGAAACTGGGAGTCACACTCGGAACGTGTCCAGCTTCCTCCCCTTCAGCCACCTGGAGATGCAATCGCTCACTCTGTCGGCTAGATTCTATCCCCTGTTCAAAGCCACGGGCCTGCCCCAGCTTTCATTCCCCGCGGCGGGAGGTGACTCACACAGCCCTGCATCTAGTGGCGCCGTTGTGTGTACTGGTTAGACGGCCACACACTCGCGTGTGCACACACGCATACACAGGAATACACACACCCCACACACATGCATGCATACACACCACGTACCACACACACCCCCCACACTCATCACATACAGACACACACATCCTCTCATACACCCCACACACAAGCACACACCTGCAGAGAGGGCTGTGCTGTGTTTGGAGTGGCATCTGCAAAGGGCTCCTCCTGCTGGTGGCGGTTGGAGTCGGGTGGGAGGCGTGGAGGCCAGGGGTCAGCTGGAGGCTGTGGTGGGGTGGCTGGGACTCAGGGGCGCTGTGAAGATGTAGATGGTGGATGCACTTGAGATGGGTTTGGAAAATCGACAGGATTTGCTGATGGATCAGAAGAGCGCAGGAAAGGGACTAAGGGTCTTGGCTGGAGCCACTGGGTGGGCAGGGGGCCGTGGGGGAGGACTGCAGGCTGGAGCGGGCGGGGCAGCGTGACCTGTGAGATGCCGCAGGACAAGCTCTTTGTCGCTCTGTGCCCCTTCTCCCCTACTTTCCTTTTGGGAGTTGCCTCTCTCCACAGCGTGCGGTCGGTGGGACGTGGGAGCATGTAACTCACGCCTCAGCCACTAGGGCGGTCCCTCTTGGGATTTGAGCCCTGAGCCGAGGATCCGGGGACAGACATACCGGGAGCACGTTCCCCTCTCAGGATGGTGGTCCTGGTGGCTCTGTCACCTGGGAAACTTCCACCCACTTGAGGCCTCCAGGGACCGATTTTGTTCTTTGCAACGTGAGGAGCCCAGCACTGTGCCTCTGAAAGCTTCACCCCAACCAGGGCATGGCACACGTGTCCCCCGCACAAAGGATGGGGGCAGGGACAAGCTGCAAACCCCAGTGAGTGAAACTGCACAGAACGTGTTCTGTCACTGCAGGAAAGGGCCTGGGCTTACATGGGGACATTTCTGTTTCTGATGCTCACCCATAATTCTGATGCTCTGCAGCTTTCCGGTGAATTCTTTGGGAGCGCTGCCGGCCATGCTCTGCTCCCTTGGGTATGTCAATGGCATGGTGCATCCGTCACTGTCTCCAGGGCCGGGCACAGCTCGTTTGACTCCAAGGAGCAGCGAGTCGGTCATCTCTGTTCCTGCCATTGTCACCCTCAGTGCCCTTGCAGCTGCACTGCGTGAGCTTGGCTTGACTGTCTGGCAAACGCACACCTGGCATTTGTCTACCTGTTACAGAACTCCGCCCAGCCACGGTGGAGCGAG